CCCATCCTCAACCGTATCATCATCAGCGACACACCGCATCGTCATCACAACCAGAATCGGTAAACTTAGCCACAACATCATCATGATCACCACCATCATGATCGTCATCATCATCGTCAGCATCATCATAATCCTCAGCTTCGTCATCATCACGATCAGCATCATCACCACCATCATCATCATCATCATCATCATCATCATCACCAGCATCATTATCATCGTCGTCATCATCAGCAGCAGTATCATGAGCATCATCATCAGCAGCAGCATCGTCATCGTCGTCATCATCAACGACATGATAATCCGCATCAAAATCAGAATGAGCATGATCATCATCATCATCATCATCCTCATCATCATGATCCTCAGCATCGTCATCATCAGCAGCAGCATCATCATGGGCATCATCATCAGCAGCATCATCGTCATCGTCGTCAGCATCGTCATTATCATCATCAACAACATGATAATCCGCATCATAATCAGCATCGTCACAATCACCATCAACATGTTCATCGGCAATCGCTTCATCATCAGCAGAATCATCGTCACCACCATCTATGGCAGTATCATCATCACAGTTAATTATGATCAGCAGCATCATCATCATCAACATCATCAGCTTCAGCACCCTCATCAGCATCATCAGCATCAGCAGCATCATCATCATCATCAGCATCAGGATCACCAGCTGCATCAGCAGCAAAATCAGCAGCAGCAGCATCAGCATCATCACCACCACTATAATCATCATCATCATCAGCAGCAGCAGCATCATCAGCATCACCATCATTATCAGCATCAGCATCATCATCAGACGCATCAGTATCCTCATCAGACGCATCCGCATCAGTATCATCATCAGTATCATCATCATTAGTACCATGGTCATCATCACCATCATCAGTAGCATCACCATCATCATCATCATCATCATCATCATCATCAGCAGCAGCATCATCATCATCAACAGCATCAGCATCATCATCATCACCAACAATAGCATCATCTTCGTCGTCATTGTCCCCATCTTCAACCGTATCATGATCAGCGACATACCGCATCGTTATCACAACCAGAATCGGTAAACTCAGCCACAATATCATCATGATCACCACCGTCATGATCGTCATCATCATCGTCAGCATAATCATCATCATCATCATCATCATCATCATCATCATCATCAGCTTCATCATCATCAGCTTCGTCATCATCATGATCAGCATCATCATCACCACCATCATCATCATCATCACCAGCATCATCAGCATCGTCATCGTCAGCAGCATCATCATGAGCATCATCATCATCAGCAGCATCATCGTCATCGTCGTCAGCATCGTCATTATCATCACCAGTATCATCATCATCATCATCATCATCATCATCATCATCAGCAGCAGCATCATCATCATCATCATCAACAACATGATAATCATGATCATCATCATCATCATCATGATCATCATCATCATCATCATCATCATCATCAGAATGATCCTCAGCATCGTCGTCATGGTCGTCATCGGCATCAGCATCGGCATCGGCACCATCATCAGCAGCAGCAGCGTCAGCATCGTCGACGTCCACTTCCTCTTTATCTTCATCGTCCTCATCATCGTCACCATCATTCACAGCAACAACAACAACCGCTGTCTTCTCTCAGTCAGCCCCAAGCCCCACATCCCTGCGGATGAAGAGACGAGAGCTGGCGCCTTGCACAGGGCGTCCTTGGCGCCCATGAACTCCATGACGTCCGGGGACGGCCACGCCTGCCCGGGCACGAGGCAGGAGCGCACGGGACGCGGCGGCGAAGCACGGTGGATCGAAGGAGGGGCAGGAAAAATCGAAGGCGGGCCCTTTTTGAGCAAACGCGTGGCCTCCCGAAAGAACCCCTCGCCAGCCCCCAAGGGGTGGTTTGGTGGGTGGTGAAGAACGTCCAAATGGCAGCTCGGGTCGGAAAGCTGGTCCTGCGAAAAAGTCCTGGCCTCTGGAGGTGCACGCCGCGGAGCGGTCGCGACGCGTACAGCCCGCCCCGCGCGGCAGACTCTCGCCGCCACGAGCGTCGCCGCGTGCCCCGCCCGGCTTGGACCGCCCCGGCCCCTGCGCCGACGGCTTCAAGGCACGCACCCCACCAGCTGGTGAAGCAAAGGCCCCCTCCAGCCCGCCGGGGGCAGGGAGGGAACGGAAGGGGGGAGCGAGGGGGTCGAGGGGGAGCACGAGGAGGGAGGCGAGGTGGCAGCAGGCGGGGGGACGGGAGAGCGGGGAGGGGGGGGGTACAAGGTCGGGGACAGGGCAGGGCACAGGACGCCGCGGGCGAGGACGCCGCGGGCGAGGACGCGGCGGGCGAGGACGAGGACGAGACGACGGCGGCGGCGGGAGGCAGCAGGCGAGGGGTGCTACCGGCAGCGCGCTCGGGCGGCCGCGGCGCCTGGATGCCCAGCTTCCGCAGGCCGCGCACGCCGTTGTCGAAGAGGGCCTGGTCGCCGCCGTCGGCCTTTGGCGGGGGGGGGGCGGAGCGGGGGGGCGGCGGGGGCGAGAGGGCAGAGTCTCTTCCTCCTTCGCCTCGTCCTCCTCGCTCCTCCCCTCCTCCTCCTCCTCCTCCTCCTCCTCCTCCACCTCCTCCTCCTCCCTCCTCCTCCTCCTCCTCCTCCTCCTCCTCTCCTCCTCCTCCTCCTCCTCTCCCTCCTCCTCCTCTCCTCCTCCTCCTCCTCCTCCTCCTCCTCCTCCTCCTCCTCCTCCTCCTCCTCCCCCTCCTCCCCCTCCTCCCTCCTCCTCCTCCTCCACCTCCTCCTCCTCCTTTCCTGAATGCAACATTCATGCCTCTGAAGTGCCAGCCTGCCCCTCCAGCCAGAGGCGCACTGAGGGCAAAGCAAATTACCTGTAATTTATAATAGCGGGATGAATTCGTCGATGTCGACCGAAACACCCCTCTTATCGGGGTGCTGTCCCTTACGGAGCCGTCTCAAGTTTCTGAAACCAGTCACCGTGGGTGGCCCGCACTTACGGGACAAACCCAGGACCTGCTCACCGCTAGAATAAAACTTGCACGACATGCACAAGTACAGGTGGCCCTTGTCACTGCAAGGGAACGCAATGACTCGATGGCCTAGTCTCTCCAACAGACCCTGGTCCAAACGGGACTGCCCAGGGCACGAACCTCCCAGCGGTTGAGTCTTGGCACGGGAACCGCGAAGACACACACGGCACCGCCAGGAGGAACCCTGTTGGGACCAGTCGTGGACGAGCTCTAAAAGAGGGGCCTTCAGGTCTGGCGACGAAACGCGCCGCGTCAGACCTCGAAACTCCAACTTTGGCCAAAGTGGCAAGAGCTCCGCTCCCGCGAGCAGGACCGCCCTCGACACTGAAATCTGATGATCGAGGGCTTCCTGCTCAGTCGGACTCATAACAGGGTGCTGCCTGGCACCTTCTTTCGCGTAGACGTCAGCGAAGAAGTTCCCTCTTCGCACAAATCTCTCATGCGAGGAGAGCCCTTCCTCGTCAGCGTCTCTGTGGGCCTCAACCTTCTCTAAGGACACGAGGTTGGGCCCAAAGAAATGTCTAGCTTGAATAATCTGGCCCGCATACTGACGCCTGGCGCTGACACTGTCCGCAGCACCAAGATTCATTAATTGAACCACGTTCGCACAATCAGAGTAACACTTAGCGGGGCCTTCCGTTTGAACAGCGGACCAAGCCAGGGCTCCGAACTCAGCACCCTGGGGCGTCTGAGGCCACGGAGCCCACAGGGGGCCCTTCAAAACTCCAAGGCACTCACCAGAGCCCGAGACCATGACAACGGCCCAACCAGCCCTAGACAATTCCCGTACAACATGACGATGGCACGAACCATCCATAAAAAGGTGCCCCCAGAGCCCCGAAGAGGGGGGGATGGAGGGAGCAGCAGCAGGAACTTCGGGGTCAGGAAGTAAATCAACAAACCAATCCAGGCTGGTACCTCCTTCAGTCAGTGGCGGAGGGGCATAGTCTCCAGGATGTTTAAAAGCACCGAACAGGTACAGACACATGTCGAGATGATCAGCCCCTAGCTCCAACGCTTCATTCTGAATACTTCTGCCAAGCACCGCATCCCTCTCAGACTGCACAGCAGGGCACACATAGAGCCTGTGGAAGAGGGTGTCGCGGTCCTTACCGCACAACGCGCACTTGTCAGAAAAGTCGTATCCTGCTGCTGCTACGTCGCTTGCCGTCCAGCAAGCTCTCGTGGCCTGGGCACGGATCCAACCTTTTGTGGAGCTGGGAACCTTCTTAGAAGACAAAAGCTGCTTGACCGCATCCCAACACAGCCTAAAACCGCAACCATACTTGTCCCCAGACTCCCTCTCAAGGCTCCGTAAAAGAGCTTCCTTACAGAAAATCTTAACAAGCTTGGGGGAAGAAAGGGTCAAAGAGATTTCGCGGCCGAAATCGTCCACAAAGGTGCAAAAGTTGGGCATGGTCCAGCCCAGCCTGTACAAGGTCATACGCAGGGCAGAAATCGGACCAGCCACCTTGGACCACGAGTGATCATCCGACTTGAAGACGGCGCTCCAGCCATCCCTAAGTTCGGCCCAGCTCAAGGTCCAGGGGAACCCGTGAGTATGCAGGGTCCAGACCTCCTTGGCCCAGCGAATGAGCGGCGCACAGCTACCCCTCCACGTCGGATCATCCGAAAGAAGACACAAGACACTGAGGGACCTGCCCTGCGCTCTAGGCCTAACCGAGGACATGGCCATCCTTCTGAGGTTAAGCAGCTCCCTGTCCGAAATACCATACAAGTCGGAACCGTACACAGCTCCAGCCAGAGGGCCCGCCGCGAAGACCTTCAGACACCTGCGACCGAGGGCCTGCTGGAGGCCCTTGAGCTTGTTGGTCTTCCTCAACGCAGCAGCCGTTCTGGATTTTAATTTGGCCGAGCGCCCCTTAGAACGAAAAGGCCTGCCCGCAGTAAAATCAGAGCCCAAGTTGGTAACCCGAGAGCAGGCTGGCCCAACAAGAGGTCCCAGGATCTCCGAAAGCTTCCTGGAAACTTCAGGGGAGTTGCTAATCATACCCACTTTGTCCATGGCCAGCTTGCACTCGAGCGTCGTCGCGATGGCTCGGTGGAGCGCCTTGGCTCCCGCCGTGAGGCTGGCAACAACAACCTTAGCTGTTCCCGTGCAGCTGAGACTGAGGTCATCAACGTAGGCATCGAAATCAGTCGTGGCTCCAGGGGCCCTGGGAACCGAAACGAGGGCCTCGTCGAAGGCCCGCAAAGCAAAAACACGGAAGAGGCTGGTCGCAAAGGAGCAGCCCGCCACTAAACCTTAGGAAACGAAAAACGGGCCCTGGATGATGCCCGCAAGGGCCAGGAAGCGCGCACTCGCATACGCCCTGATGGCCAGTCTCGCAAGAGGCAGCGGGAAGTGCAGAAGCTCGCACTGCTGCCAGAGGTACCTCAGGTCGATATGCTCATAGTACTTCCTGAGGTCCCAGAAAATGGACGCCGACACTTCTCTCTTGCGAGTGCCCGCTTCGGCCCTGAAGGCCTGCCTCCAGACAACGTCCCCAGCTCCCCTGTTGGCTCCAGCGGCCCAGTACTTCCTGGGATGGTTGAGCTCCCACTGGAGAGCTTCCCGACGACGGGCGCGACCCCAAAGACGGTACAGGCTCGGGAACACCCCAATGGGCCTGAACCCGCCCGTCGGCTTGGCCAACAAGGCCATAAGAACCCACGAGAGTTGCCTGGGCAAGTCTCCAGTGGCTTCCCAAACAGCGAACCACAGGGCCAGGGCATGCAAAGCCTCATCGGGGAGAAGGCTGAAATGCCTGCAATGGAAGCCGTCGACACTCACAGCAGAGGAAGTGCGATACTTTTTGGAAACAGCTCGGAGCTCGGCAGGCTCTAAAATTCGCCCGTGGGGCAGAAGGTCATGGTTCACACCAGTGCCTTTGCCAGAGCCCCAAATAGCAGCAAACTTGTCCCCTTCAGCCTGCAGTAAAGACACTGGGTCGCAAACGATGGTTCCACATCTGGCTAAGGTGGTGGAGGGTTTCCAGGGAACAGGGTCTTTGATAGCCCTCTGCGCGTTGCGACCGCCAGCATCAATACCTGTGCGCACCCACTCTTGCCACTCGAGCCGCGAGGAATTCGCAGCGGTGACCTTAGCAGCAGCGACGGCTTGAGCAACCTGATCGATCAGGTCATCCAGATCAGAGCCAAGCTCAGGATCCAGCACAGGGGAAGAGGCGCATCTGGCTAAGGCTGCACTGGCCTTGAAGAGCGAGTGGTACTCAGAGCACTCCTGCACCGCCACGGCCGTCGGAGGCTGGAGGATCGAGTTGAGCACCCTTCGACCAGCCTCCTGCAAGGCCGAACCCGAGAGGTAGCACCTAACTGCACGTAGCTGATTGCAAAGCCACGAAATAGACCTTAACCCTGGATTCTTTTCCCGCCCCGCAGGGCGCAGCACGGACTTCCAGTAAACCTGGGGTCTCTTTCCCCGGGTGCCGAAAACCTTGAGATCAGCCCCAAGAGAGCTGGCAAGATCTCTCTCGGCCGCGTCAGCCCAGAACTTGTACCCGATGCCCAAAAGCCTGCGAGCCTTGCCCGCATCGCCATTGGCAACAGCCCCGAAGGCAGCTTCGGCCAACTCGAGCGCAGCACTCCAATCCCCAGGCTCGGGCGACGGTCCCACAGGAGGGAGGACAGGCAACACAGGGGGCTGGCGGAAGGCAAGAGCCTTGAGATCGCCCAGGGAGCTGTGAAAACGGAGCGACACAGGGCGATGTGGAGTGATGCTGGAGTCATCATCCACTTGAACACTCTTGAGGCAGAGGCTGAGCGCCTCCGACACCACGAAAAAATCAAAACGATCGGGAGGGCCCCTGCTGGGGAAGTGGGTGTGACCTTCAGGAACAATCGTACTGGCCCTGAGCTTTTTGCCGAAGTCGGAAGCTTCAATCACCTCGGGACCCATGTTCCAGTCGGCCCCCACAATAAACTCACATCCCAAGGAATCTAAGTATTCCCCAACGACCCTCAAGGTTTCTTTATTGGATTCCGAGAGACCTTCACTGTGGATGAGGTAGAGGCTGCAGACACAGAACGGAGCGCACCCAGGAACATGAACCATGGTGGCCACAGCTCGACCAGGAACAAGAACAGGATTCCCTGCAGCTTCAAACAGCCCTAGACCATCTCGCACACATACGCAAACTCCCGAAGAAATACCTCCTCCCTCACCAGGTATTCCCGACGCCCACAGCGTTTTCCATCCCAAGAACTTGGACGACTTCGAAGCATGGTCCAGGGCAACAGGATCTCTGAGCCGATGTTCCTGGGCAATAACCACATGCGCCTTGGCCGAGGAAAGGAAGTTCTTGAGAGTACCCCAGGAATTGGCGTTCACGGTAGTAACCAGAAGGCCCTCATCTAACCTGATGCAGCCATCGGCAGCACCCTGGGCAGCTGGCGTGGGGGCTGAGGTCGCTGGAAGCCATTCGCCATCTGGGGCG